GCAACATGGTTTTAAGCTCAAACCGTCGAGTTCAAGTTTGACGTATAATAACCGGCTAAGTTGAGCGTACAGATGCTTGAAAAGATCGAAGCCCCGGTTTTTCCGTAATGGAAAGCAGATTTTAAATGTTACACTTTTCAAGCCCCGTAGATTGAAATTACATCTAAATAATATAGATTTGATGATGAGTCGGGCACACCAATCACCTCGCTCAAGTGTGAACACGTTCGCCTGTTCAGACGTGAAAATTCAGATGCGTTCAACGTGCGTTGGTGGAGTAGTGGTTACACGCTCGCCTCGCACGTCAGATGTCCGGGGTTCAGATCCCGGCACGGCCATTGGATATGCACTGCTGACGAGCTCTGATAAGAGCGAAACTCGAGTCCAGTGCTTCCCTTTGGTGTGGACTCACCGGAATAATTACTCCAGAACAGGAACATGGCCGTTCAAACGAGGGTGGTGTGACTATGAACGTGGAAGTTGTTGCACCTCTTCACCTTCACTGACGCTACTGGGTTATAGTCAGAAGACAAGAAGTCATGAAAAGAACGCAAATAGCGATCAAAGCTTGTTTACTGTGACTCTTAGCTAGCACGTCAAAAGTTTATATGGTATCAGAAATCACGTGAAAAGGCTGAAATCGGGGGAACACACACCGTAGTTGAATAGAAATAAAAGGAGGGGCGTTGAGTGAGGGGTAGATCAAAGGGTCACGGAAACATGACAGTGACATCAAAGTCAGACAGAGTTGTACGACCGAATTTCCGCACTTCAGTTCGTTGTCGTTTTCGCAGTCTATTGCCTCTGCGATCAATATTAGTCTGGATCGTACCCGTCGTGGTCAGGTCAGAAGTACCAAGTACATGATGTAGAAGGCTTGCTCTTCGTCAATGACATGACTAGATTCAGCCAACTACCATGTAGTTGCACTTGAGCTCGGTTTCTTTCAGCTACCTCTCAGAGCCACGGGAATATGTTCTTGCATTCTGTCAGACAAGTTCCTTGACGTACGACCAACGTATGATGCTTAGCATGAGTATAAACATTGGTACGTACTAAAGCTAGTGTTAGAATGTGACGATTTGTCCTTCAAGCGGAAACTGACAATGAGGCTGGAAGTGAAGCTTAAGCACAGATTTGCAACCATGTATGTTGTATCAAACTCACGGCGTTTCAGCGCATGCACATCTAGACGTCAAGCGACTAAGATCAATTTCAAAGTATGTCCTGTGTACAATCACGAATTCGAAATAAACACCAATTGCTTCATTTGTTTAGACGGGAGAATTTCGCACAGAAATGACTCCAAGTGAATCCCTTACTTGCTACTTCTCAGTCTAGCTTCTCTGGAGCTTACATAATCCACAACTTTGCTGATCAAAGTCTGAAAAACGGAATTCACATTCCACGTCCTACATCAGCTAGGTCTGCTTTTTGAGGCATGTCATCACCACAAACAGCATTTGACTTCTTCNGACTTCTAATCGGCCTAATCGGTGAGTTCTCACAGGCCTTATTGCAGTGGACCTGTTTCAGTCAACTGATACCTTTCATGGTCTCGTGAGAATGAGTACAGTTCAACTTTTGGATTAGGTGAGTTTGCCACACACTGTCTACCGGTGTGCGGCTCCTTTAGAGACCAGAAATGTGCAAGGTGTGGGGCTTCTGTGTCGCTGGCCTTCAGAACTAACTGTAATGTTCGTGTAAAACTGGAAACCAAGACCAGTGTTTTGACTAGATATGAAAAGTTTCTAGCCATGTGTTAGACCTGACGACAAAAAGTCATACTGGCGAAACTATACTGGAAGTTTCTCTGTTTCAACCTGCTGGATGGCACATTCTTGGACAAAACTTAGTCCCTAGTTGTAGCCACATCAACCCAATGTCATTCCGAGCCAGAAAGAGACTTATAATTTCGCTTAAGCGTTTCAACGATGATTCTGACAATGCTTCTGAGGACCTTGATAGTGAGCATTCCAAACTCTGTTTGCATTTCACAACGTTTCAGCGTCCTATTTTGTAAATTAACTCTTGACTATCTGAGGAAGTGTTTTAAAAGTTGCAATTATGAAAAAAGTTACACAATGCAAGGAACCAAAACACTAAAAATACAAGTTCATTTTTTCCATCATGATAAACTAAGCTACTCTCCTGAAGCATCAGCGTTTGTTTGTGCACGCCTGAGCTAAACCCCAGAGTCTAGAAGAGCTCGACAATGCGAGACAAGGGGGTATTAATATAAGAGATCAGGTTGTATGTATTGGGCCTATTCTCAACAAATAACTGACCTTTAGTGTAAAATATCTCAGGATATTTGTAGTCATCCTTGCCGGACGCATTGTATATTTGGATTATATCCCATGCTGGCTTCGTAATTCCATCCGTTATCAGTAAACCCAAACTGGAGCGTTGTATTCCGAACTCTCCTTGCATTTTCCAGAAATCCAGATAACCAAAGTGATCCATTTGGAGAGAGATGGCAATATTACAGTCTACAATAACACACCCTATCAACCGTGTCTGAGTGCTGAACCCTCTCGACGACACACCACACTCATAAAAAGGCACTTTCCAAATGATGACTGCCCTTTTTGGTTGTGGGTTAGGCAAATTTAAGAAAAGTATCCACAATTGACTACCTTGCTGGAAAGTCCATAGCTTAACCTATAAAAAACTTTTGCAAAACACAAAAGGATGGGATATTCTTCAATTCCAACCTTTCAGCTGTTTCTATCACATTGCAACAATATTACCCAAATCATATGACCCATTTTCATACAGCTCTCGCATAAATTCTAATTAGTATAAATTACCCCAATACACCAACACAATGGACTAGGTTTGCTGGCGAACGAGCGGACGTTACACAACCGATGATGCACTGGATGAAAATGCCTCAGATTTGCACACGCGTGCGCTAGTTGACATGTAGTCACCCATTCCCCATATCGTCCATTGACCTTCGAGGATCAGCATCTCCTCTGCNGTGGATGGTATACTGTAGGGCCAGCAGCACGCTCTCGCAAAACCCCGTGCTGGCTGATAATAGGCAAATACTTCCGAGATGCTCATGTTTAAGCTAAAGCGAAAACCACGGAATCGAACACCGAAGTCAGTCAGTGCGATTCCGAATCGGTTTGTGGGAATCAGATCCAACCACTTGGTACTATTTGACAAGGATGACGGTGTCTTTGGCGAAAGGCGTTTCGAATTGAATAGGTATTCACCCGGAAGTTATCGAATGGTTATGACACCTTCGCAATCGCATAATGACTCTGCGTTGATCATCGCCGAATAGAGGCTAGTTAGGGTGGGGACAGAAAGTCCCACAATAGAAGACAAACACAGTGATGAGATACTTGATCAGAATGAAAGAATGGTTGCACAAATCCAACGTACTAACTGCAAAAAGTGTGATGCTGAAGCACTCACGACTAAATAGCTCGTAAATAACAAGGCAGGTAAGTAAGCAGTCAAGTAAGCAAGACATCGAGGGTATAATCAAGTAAGTAAGCAGTTATATTTGTTGATCTTTGTACACATTTACGACCGATGTCAATATGATTTCCCTTATGAGAATATGCACCCTGTTCACATGCATACTGTCTGATGTTTCAGTAGAGAAGGAAATTGGTGCAAATTCAAGGACTAACTCTCTTTGGCGGGCCCCAAAGGAATGAACTATATATTAGCCTGCCCAGAGGTTAGTACCACCCCCAAAACTTCACACCTTTTCAACTCACAGAAAGTTGTATTAGGTTCTCGCGTTCCAAATCGGAATCAACTGCCAGCTCAGAGAACAGCTGCCTGAAGGACGCCTGCCGACTAATGTGCACAGAATTCGCATGTTCGGAATTTCATGGGACCGGAGAAGACCGGGATACACTCATCGGTTATTCACACACTAAAAACGTTAAAATACCTACTGTTGAATTTTATATTCAGTAGTGCCGAACGCGGAGGATGAGTAGTGAAGGCTTTGATTAGTTTTAATTGTACCACGCAGGGATCTACCTGGTGTCGCAGCATACACTTTTGTGTGAATGCACCCTAGCGCTGCACTTAAACCATATAGATTGTTAATGCTGTTCCAGTGATCCGTAATGAAGGAATGATTCTTTGCTTTAACTTTGCGAAAAAACACGCCCAAACACTCGAACGGACCTTATGTGAACGTGATCACGACTGAAATCCGTTTGTACAAACCTTGCTACACGGCTGTAAGCAGGTCTCGTTCGTTGACAAGTAGGAAAATGAGCTTGTGTGATCTGAACTCCAGAGCAGGGATTTTGCCAATTTTCGCGGTTGTTTGACTGTAGTTATGGTGAGTGATACAGATAGTCAGACACCCAAATTCAGCGTAGCATTGAGGATCTTCCAAGGCCTATTGCTAGTGGTACAACGCAGACCAGTTTTTCGTACGCTTCCTCCGTATATCAAATCGGCTTCGTGGAGAACCTCAAATGCGGTCGCCCCTGTTGGCTACGCTGTCATTGTATCAAGATTTCGTTTGTCTTCCTAATGCATATATCCGTTAACGGCTCCGCGCTCACAAGTGTTTATGTTGAGGCAACGCACTGCCTTATTGCGATAGTAACTGCACTGCCCAAACAGCAGTAGTATCTGCACTCCGTCACACAGTGCGAGCGAAACCGGTCTCAACCTGGGGCCATAGATGTCCCATTCGTCCCTGCTGTGGCTGAGGCAGCTTCAGTTTTGTCCTATAATAGACTCAGAGGCACCGACCACGTTCATTCTACCTTGCTGACTTCTAACCGGCCTAATCGGTGAGTTTTCACAAGCCTTATTGCAGTGGGCCTGTTTCAGTCAACTGATACCTTTCATGGTCTCGTGAGAATGAGTACAGTTCAACTTTTGGATTAGGTGAGTTTGCCACACACTGTCTACCGGTGTGCGGCTCCTTTAGAGACCAGAAACATGCAAGGTGTGGGACTTCTGTGTCGCTGGCCTTCAGAACTAACTGTAATGTTCGTGTAAAACTGGAAACCAAGACCAGTGTTTTGACTAGATATGAAAAGTTTCTAACCATGTGTTGGACCTGACGACAAAAAGTCATACTGGCGAAACTATACTGGAAGTTTCTCTGTTTCAACCTGCTGGATGGCACTTTCTTGGACAAAACTTAGTCCCTAGTTGTAGCCACATCAACCCAATGTCATTCCGAGCCAGAAAGAGACTTATAATTTCGCTTAAGCGTTTCAACGTTGATTCTGACAATGCTTTTGAGGACCTTGATAGTGAGCATTCCAAACTCTGTTTGCATTTCACAACGTTTTAGCGTCCTATTTTGTAAATTAACTCTTGACTATCTGAGGAAGTGTTTTAAAAGTTGTAATTATGAAAAAAGTTACACAATGCAAGGAACCAAAACACTAAAAATACAAGCTTGTTTTTTTCATCATGATAAACTAAGCTACTCTCCTGAAGCATCAGCGTTTGTTTGTGCACGCCTGAGCTAAACCCCAGAGTCTAGAAGAGCTCGACAATGCGAGACAAGGGGGTATTAATATAAGAGATCAGGTTGTATGTATTGGGCCTATTCTCAACACATAACTGACCTTAAGTGTAAAATATCTCAGGATGTTTGTAGTCATCCTTGCCGGATGCATTGTATATTTGGATTATATCCCATGCTGGTTTCGTAATTCCATCCGTTATCAGTAAACCCAAACTGGAGCGTTGTATTCCGAACTCTCCTTGCATTTTCCAGAAATCCAGATAACCAAAGTGATCCATTTGGAGAGAGATGGCAATATTGCAGTCTACAATAACACACTCTATCAACCGTGTCTGAGTGCTGAACCCTCTCGACGACACACCACACTCATAAAAAGGCACTTTCCAAATGATGACTGCCCTTTTTGGTTGTGGGTTAGGCAAATTTAAAAAAAGTATCCACAATCGACTACCTTGCTGGAAAGTTCATAGCTTAACCTATAAAAAACTTTTGTAAAACACAAAAGGATGGGATATTCTTCAATTCCAACCTTTCAGCTGTTTCTATCACACTGCAACAATATTACCCAAATCAAATGACCCATTTTCATACAGCTGTCGCATAAATTCTGATTAGTATAAATTACCCCAATACACCAACACAATGGACTAGGTTTGCTGGCGAACGAGCGGACGTTACACAACCGATGATGCACTGGATGAAAATGCCTCAGATTTGCACACGCGTGCGCTACTTGACATGTAGTCACCCATTCCCCATATCGTCCATTGACCTTCGAGGATCAGCATCTCCTCTGCGTCCGAGTAAACGAGATTATTGAGGTGGGAAATTCACACTGAATGACCCCCTACCTCATCCATATACCGAACGACGCATGGAAACGGAAACACTTACGCACAACGTATCACTAAAAACATGTTCAGTCTGGATCTGCGCCAAAATGACCACTTTGTCTTTCATGATAGCTACCTCTATCACAGATATATTTGCCCGTTAAAACGCACAATGTGGCCAGTTTGTGGTATAAATGGAGAGTTAGGAAACATCAAATCGTTCGGTACTTTTTAGGGACTAATTTAGCTCTATACTCACTGTCACGTTGCAAATTTATCGTTTAGTATTCCCACGTGCTTCAGGTGTTAAAAATTCAACATCTAGATTTCTTTATAACACAGGTGACTAGTTCATGAAGCATAACTACCTCATGTCATCCGGTTTAACAGTGAGAAGATTACCCGAAACGACGGACAGTAGGGGCAACATGGTTTTAAGCTCAAACCGTCGAGATCAAGTTTGACGTATAATAACCGGCTAAGTTGAGCGCACAGATGCTTGAAAAGGTCGAAGCCCCAGTTTTCCCGTAATGGAAAGCAGATTTTAAATGTGACACTTTTCAAGTCCAGTAGATTGAAATTACATCTAAATAATATAGATTTGATGATGAGTCGGGCGCACCAATCATCTCGCTCAAGTGTGAACACGTTCGCCTGTTCAGACGTGAAAATTCAGATGCGTCCAACGTGCGTTGCTGGAGTAGTGGTTACACGCCCGCTTCGCATGTCAGATGTCCGGGGTTCAGATCCCGGCACGGCCATTGGATATGAACTGCTGACGAGCTCTAATAAGGGCGAAACTCGAGTCTAGTGTTTCCCTTTGGTGTGGACTCACCGGAATAATTACGCCAGAACGAGAGTGGTGTGACCATGAACGTGGAAGTTGTTGCATCTCTTCACCTTCCCTGACGCTACTGGGTTATAGTCAGAAGACAAGAAGTCATGATAAGAACGAAAATAGCGAACAAAGCTTGTTTTCTGTGACTCTTAGCTAGCACGCCAAAAATTTATATGGTACCAGAAATCACGTGAAAAGGCTAAAATCGGGGGAACACATACTTTAGTTGAATAGAAATAAGAGGAAGGGGGTTGAATGAGAGGTAGGTCAAAGGGTCACGGAATCACGACAGTGACATCAAATTTAGACAGAATTGTACGACCGAATTTCCAGACTTCAGTTCAAGTCTATAGGTTGAACAAACTTCTCTTGAAAGCACAGTTGACGTTTTAGCAGTCTATCGCCTCTGCGATCAATATTAGTCTGGATCGTACCCGTCGTGTTCAGGTCAGAAGTACCAACTACATGATGTATAAGGCTTGCTCTTTGTCAATGACATGACTAGATTCTGCCAGCTACCATGTAGTTGCGCTTGAGCTCGGTTTCTTTCAGCTACCTCTCAGAGCCACAGGACTATGTTCTTGCATTCTGTCAGACAAGTTCTTTGACGTACGACCAACGTATGATGCTTAGCATGAGTATAAACATTGGTACGTACTAAAGCTAGTGTTAGAATGTGACGATTTGTCCTTCAAGCGGAAACTGACAATGAGGCTGGAATTGAAGCTTAATCACAGATTAGCAACCATGTATGTTGTATCAAACTCACGGCGTTTCAGCGCATGCACACCTAGACGTCAAGCGACTAAGATCAATTTCAAAGTATGTCCTGTGTACAATCACGAATTCGAAATAAACACCAATTGCTTCATTTGCTTATACGGGAGAATTTCACACAGAAATGACTCCAAGTGAATACCTTACTTGCTACTTCGTAGTCTAGCTTTTCTGGATCTTACATAATCCACAACTTCGCGGATCGAAGTCTGAAAAACGGGATTCACATTCCACGTCCTACGTCAACTAGGTCTGCTTTTTGAGGCAAGCCATCACCACAAACAGCATTTGACTTCTTCCTGGAGACGGCCTATCGCTGCCATCTCTATCAGTCGATGAGTTTGTCATTCCGTGTTTTTACCCCGAAATTCTTAAGGTCCCAACCCACGTTACTTTACGGAGGGGAACTAGTCCTAACCTTACTGGTCGGTGGACAGTGAATTTGTCTAAATCCGGGACGTGCTCGAGGTCTGAATGTTACTGGACCGAACTGTTCCAGGTGAATTTTCGCTAGATGAAATTATCTGACCCGGTCATATCACACGCCGTTTTGGATTGTACGAGGGGAGTATCCGAAGGAGATGACTGACCAGGATCTCAGCACTAGAACAGACCTCATACAATCAGGCATGACTGATGTCATGAAGAGTTTTCTCAAAATGTAGGGCTCAAACGCCAGCCAAACGTAAAATGCACATCATACACGTACATTCTCGTCTATAAATCAGATTACATTCAGAGTGTTTTAAATGACTTTCGGTGCTTCCTTCATGCTGCCAGGCACTTGCAAAACTCACCATGAGTAATTTGATACCTCGCACTTTTGAAATATATAACCTTTTACCGATATCTGACAAGAGGATATCGGTCCATCGATTGCAGATTGTCAATAGCACGTAACAGCTTAGTTTTTTCACCTGGAAGAGTGGCAGTTAGGTCCGTCCAAAAACTCATATCAGTGACTTGTGTAAACGATGTGGTAAAATTAATGATGGGTGGAAGCCTGACCTTGTGCATAGCTGAGTAGTCCCACGGATGATTATCCATGTGGTTTGCACAAAAACGGCGATTACCAAAACCGACTGGTGAGTGGGAAGCGTATTTGATTGTTGGTAGTGTGAGGCAATCTGGAAATTTTAAATGGGAATTAATTTGCAGTTGCGATACAACCCAACCGGTGAAAACTCCAAGAACCCATAGCGAACAATCTGGACGTAGCTTTGAGAAAGAATAATTCCAAAATATGAGTTAAACTATCATCTGAGAAGTCGTCACTCAACGGGTAAGTCAATAGGCGTCAAAGTGATGCGGTTTCCGTAACTGATACATGAGTTGCACCATGTTCTGTCTAAATGAGAGCTAATCACACTAGTTTACAGTTCGTTGAATTTCAAAGTTTGGCTATTCATACTGCTGACTGGGATGTCGCGGCTCTTAAGCTCTCTGGAGCTTCGTGATGTTCTCTTCGCTGATGCTTGTTAATGCTCCAGTACCCGTCCGGATCGATCTATTAGGTTGTTTGATGGACTAGTGATCTACAGGTTTATCGAAGCCCATGATAAAGGCATAAACACGCATAAGTGTGCTGTAAAGCGTAGGTGCGAAGAACTGAATTCCAAAGAGAGGTCCTCAATAATGCACTGCAGCTAGTGGATCAGTATTCAGACACCCATCGCCACGGAAAGCACGAACTGCGACATTCAATGGGAAGGTCAGCAACTAATGCATGAGCTTAAAAGTCACCAGTGGCAACCATTTTAACTACTCGATAGTACGATGAGTGTTTGGAAGAGCAGGTTTGACAAATGCTGAACACAGAAACGGTTCTTATTTTTGACTAAGATGAACTTACTCGAGGAGATCATATTTAAAAGCGTCTAGAATACTTTAACTGGGTCCCTGACAGTCATGCCCAAGGACTCTCGCTGTGGATAGACTTCGTTATGCAGGAATGACTTTATTAGTGCACAGGTAGTGATAGCCATAATACAAATCAGAAGGTGTATGTGTGCACTAATAGAAGTTTTTAGTATTTCTGTGACACGTATAAAAATAAATACAGTGCGAAAATGGGTGCAAGTCAAAAAGGGAACTTATCGTATATGAGAGTCCCTTGGTGGAAGTCCGGACGGTGGGAACGTGTTTTTCTCCGCAGTTAGACTGCTACACGTACTCCATGGTTGTCCGTGGACTTGTGGAGAGGTTGACGTCCTGCTCCCTGCGCGCGCGCGAGTCTGTGTCTTGACTGGGTTCGGTTTGCGTTTATGTAGGTCCCAGTGCGTAAACGTGGGCGCGTCGGCACATGATTGGTCGCTACGCTGACTAGGCGGTGCAGACAATCGATGTCCGATGAGTCAGCTTAATGCGACGTGTTTGTGCGTATGAGAAAAAGACAAGCCTCGCGATCCAGTGAGCGACTGTGAGTTGAACAGTCAAGTGTGTGGGTGACCGTGCCGCTACAACTTCAAGAGAGTTGCATCTCAGTCACTTCAGACTAAATAGTGAGGGGAATGCCAATTTCATAGCCAGGTTAACCTAAGGATCTGTGTCAAAAACGGAGTTAATAACAACTGGGTATATGATTTTTACTTCATCAAAAAGACTAAACGCACAAGGAGTGTCTCCCCTAAATATTTTGCTGGAATGAATAATGTGTGTATATTTCCATCAAGAGGGATCCTTCCACAAAAAGATGTCAGACGACCTGGACGAGAACCTACTCGGTAAAAGTCCCCGAGAAATGGCCTTTATGGACCGCGTCAGCATTTGAAATAACTTTTTTATTTAGAACTGCATGAAGAGAAAAAGGTACGGGGCAGCGTGATGCGGATAGGAAAAAACGAAAAACAACACTCGCGAGGGCTTGTCCTTAATTTGGTGACACTGCACCATTAAAAGATGAGGATCGAAATTTCCTCAGCGAGCTTGAAGATGAAGCACAACAGCGCAGACAGTGTACTTCATGGTGTCTCATTATATTAGTTTCAATAACAAAAACTTGCTGTCCATTCAACCTCTCCATTTTAACTTATGAACGGTATCGAGTCACGGATACCCCTTCGATATCTTGAACATCTCTACTGCTCACAAATTTATTTTCATTTGGGAACCATTCTTTACTGATCCTAGGGGACCACCCCAATCTTGTGGATCATCGGAATTTGAAAGCACCGGTGGGTTGTCAAAGAGTTTTCACCAAAGTCTTAAGTATTGTTCTATCGAGAAAAGATGCATTGTCCTTGAGAATAGACTGATAAGTCAACGGCCCGCTGTGTAACAGACAAGCGGCAGGATGAACAATTTCATACCACAAATACTATCCTGTTGACTCCCTGTGAACTCCCCGCTGACTTTTAGTCAAGCATGGTGCGTTAAGATAATAAGACTGACTAACTGACAATTGGCATACTTTTGTTCGTCGAATATACCGTGGTTTGCACGGGCTGGTGACGGGGTTGTTAACTTCTCCTTCATCGAATAAAGTCCACAAAACTTGAGTTTGTATTTCGTCGGAACACTGAGCGCACTCAGCTGATGTCCACTCAGTTGAACAACAGACTTCTGCCAGCTCGGCGAACAAATATACGGTTACCTGATTAACCATATGAAAACTTAAATTCGTCTTGTCACTTCTGCTCACAGGTCGGTTATTACAAAACCAAATATAGGATTGTTGGTGTAAGGAAATTCGCCTGAACCCTTCCCCAAAATGTTGCCTAAAACCATCACATTTAGTATGTCTTCTGGCAGTCTAAGGAATCGATGAAACTTTTGACAACCTGTCTCGAACCGCATNGAATCGACGCAACTTTTGACAACCTGTCTCGAACCGCATCAAACTTTGCACCTCAACTTTTTACTCTGCACACTTGTGAGTGGTGCCCGAACTCCAGTCTTGACAGTCAGCGTGCACTTGTCGATAGCTGAATATTCTCGAATGTTTAACCACGTAACATATATGCAACCGGTAGGTAATGGAAACACTATTACCGGATCACACAGTTTGCTACCTTCGAACTGAACAGTTCAGGTAATTGTCTTTTAGCGGGGATGAAGTGCATACCAAACATTGCCTACCTGCGCACAGTCGTATTATTTAGTGGTGAGATTT